ACCATTCTGATTTCTCGAACATATCCATTGATTAGGGATTTTAATACAGCAGCTAATTATCTTAAACAACTTTTTCCACTATGCTATATCTCAACAAAGTTGATAAATATTACTAAAACTACAAACAAGTGGACACACCATCACCATCATCTAGAGTGTCTATTTATTGTTACCCGTTGTTTGTGTAAAGTATATACTATTTAGCACTAAATAGAGTGTTTAGTTTTTTTGTTAATGTGCTCAATATAAAAATTTAAATTTGTCTTGATATCTCGGGAAATAAACTATATCGACATATTTAGTGGAAATGTTGCTTAAAATAACTGATTCTACTAAAATCCTTTGTCAACAAGAGAGATGTCCCTCAAATCGGAATGGGCACATAATAGGTATTGTATATATTGGAACGCGTTCTCTTGATACTAATCAGACCAATCTATAGAACTGATATTATATCCTGATATATAATTACAACTTAACCAATAATTGTAAAAAGTTTACTTTAAATTTTGATATCTTGGAAAGTAATCTATATCGACATATTGTGTAGTGGAAATATTTCCTCAAAATAACTTGTTTCATTAAAATCCGTTGTCAACATGGGGTGTCGCGAAAATCAGAATGGACACAAAACGGGTATTACCAAAAACCGGGGGGTACATGCGTATTATCTTGCTGCCAATCATGTCAATCTATAGAGCTGATTTTATAAGTATATATTAGATTATCTCAACGGAACACAACTTAACGAAGGATTGAACAAAATAAGAAAAAAAAAAAATAAAAATTAATGCACATATATAATTATTTATGTACAGAAATCAATCATAGATATGGTTTCAAAACCTCTTTAATAAAAATGAATATGCGTTAAGGTCAGTATTTCACCAAAAAAAAAAATTATGCTTCGAAGCTGAATATTGCGTGCCCTTAGAGAAAAGTTTTTACCACCCTTTTCTGTACCTTCCTTTTCAATACCTTCGTTTTCTATACTTTCCTTTTCTATAGAAGGAAAGCAAATAGTGAAACCTGTCCGTACCAAAATCCAAAACGGAAATAGTTGCAAATAAAGTTGTAATATGAACCATAAGACCACATGCTCCACCCTGCAACATGAAAACAAACAATTATCAAACGTAGCACGATGAATGGCACAAGCACAAGCAGAAGCACAACCACAAGGTACAATCAATCTAGACCACGCATGGGTCAAAGCACCGGGCAGATTACGCCCGCGAAATATTAGATTTGTTAGCTGATTTGTTTTCGACAAATGCAAAAAGCAGTTCAGGTTCGCCTACATTTATGCGTATGCATACGCTTAAATTTCGCTAGCGTAATGTATTGTGGCGGAAACGGAAATAGGTACGTCCAGAAGCAATAAAGCGAAAGTGACTGGAGAAAAAAATTAAAGCGATTTATATTACAATATATTTGATATAAAAATTAGTTACCAACAAGATGTCTTCGCCTTATAAAAATTTAATATTTTAATATTTCAACTTTTTTGAAAATTTTTTTTTTCAAAAAATATAACAAAAGTGGCTGCCAAAAACATTTATTGCTTTCATAAGACGATTTTTAGATGCCTTTATTTTAAGGATACCAACAGAGAAAACACATTCAAATTAATGTTCACTTCTAAATGAATAATAAAACAATTTATTTTTGTTTTCAATTCAATTAAGTGAATATTTATCTGTCATATCCTGGCAAAAAAAAAAGATATCTGCAGGACTCTTTAAATGTGCCAAACACTCGCTTTCGTTTTAACAAATCGCCACTTGTGTTTATCCTTGACACAATTATCATAAAAAGGCTGAGAAAAACTATTCTCAAAATCATAAAATCAAATGTCGTTGACATTTTTTCGACCTCAATTGTGGATTAGTTTCAGATATTTAATAAACAAAAAACACAAAGTGGGAAATTAAAAGAAAAAACAAAAAGTAAAGGAAAGAAGTTTAGTAAAAGACTTTTGATCCTTAAAATTAACTAAAGTAATTTTGCTAGATATTGAAAATGTACTTATTTTAAATTGGGCTTACCTATTTATAGATATTCTATGTCTTTATGATATACGAAAAAAATTGGCAGCTTTCAGTACATACTTTAGTTAATCTAAATCTACAATATACTATATACAGTAAGGAAAGCAATAGTCAAAATGCCAACTAACAGCATTTAAAATACGGAAAAATGTGAAGAGCATGGAAAAAAGGAAACAATTTGGAAAACTCAAGTACTAATAGTACAAAGAAAAACAGAGAAATATTAAAATTAAGTAGAAGGATCCAACGTATCAGCTAACACTAAAAAAATGAAAAAAAATATATATATAAATAAGAAAAAATTATATTAGTGCATTAAATAAGTGAACATTAAAAAGGTTTCTATTAAAAATCTTAGAATTCCTTAAACGTTAATAATATAAAAAAACCTTTTCCTAAATCTAACAATGTATTGGTGATTCATTACGCACTAAGATCCCCGATGTAAATAACGTAATCTTATTGGACAGCCAAGCTGAAATCAAATTTCTGGTGGACGCAACAGTGATATTCTTAATAGTTCAAGAACTCCAGGTTTAATGAACTATATAGGTGTGTTAGTGTCCAGTTCGTGTTGGTACCTCGATACAGGGACATGTTGGGCAACTACAGGGCAGACAAGCTTACTAAGATTCGTACCCTGCTTCCTAGCATTTATTTCTCAGATATTGGTATTCCACTGGTAACGGTCAAGTTGGCAATCAAACAAAAATATCTGAGCATAACTGAACAAAATTGATCAGTTTAATCCTTCAGTCAGATCTCAAGATATAACTCACCAAACTAGACAAGAAACGTATCTGTCAGTTGCTTCAATGAAGGCATAACCTGCTAAACACTATGTTAAATGTACTCATGGTCCACTGAGTACTAAGAGATATGTTATGAGACTGGGTCTACCTCATAATGGTTTTTGTTGTGTTTGCGACTCTACGAATAGGGGGACACGAAACTGTATTCCAACTAATGTGTTGAAATACTCATAATTGGCACTCATAATTTTTTTTATTACCGACTGGACAAGCTCTCATCCTACAAAATTAGGGTGTAGACCAAGTTTGTAGACTAATCAGGCTGGTTTACTATCACTTGAATGAGGAAGAATATTAAGTAGTCATAAACCATATAATTATTTAATATGTAACGTTCATATGCTTCTTAAAGTTTTTCAAAATTTAAGCAACAAAACTTAATGTAAAAATCAAAGCAATACTTTTGATTTCAATTCCTTCTTTATTTTAAACTTATATGCTTACAAATGTTTTAATTAGAGACTTTGCTTTTTGTTGTTGATAAATATAATCACTTCTGATTTTCTTAAAAATGATAGATTGAAAAATCGATATTTAGACTCAAATAGTCTTTATAAAAACCATCAAAATATTTTTACTCCTTCGTATAGAGACGATAAGTGTGATAAATTACTCTTGAGATTTACAAAATCAATTAAATTAATTATTAAATTATATATGTGTTTATATAGAAAAAATAATTAACAAAAAAAAAAGAAAAAATTATTCATTGATTATGCAGACAGAAAGTATGAAACCTCGTTTGAAACGAAAATATCCAATATTAGTAATTTTTTCACCAATCAGATATTTCCGTTTAGTGCTAATGTTCGTAAAAACTAGACAATCCGTTTATTAATGTTGTTAAGTGTGATCGCTTAATAAATGACCAGTTTATTAATGTTGTTAAGTGTCACCGATATGAACTAAGTCTAATCACAAAATATTTCCAATTACTATGATGGCGTGCTATTGCTCTTAGCTCACTAAAAATTTCTTTACTGGTCTTTGCTCGTTTCTTTACTAATGGTTCTTCACCATGTTGTCCTCCGCCGACCGCGATTTCTCTTCTCTGCGAATTTCACTCGAGAGTACCATGAACAATTTCGGTTTTTGGCTAGCGGAGATTATGCCCCAGTCATCCGTATGTCATCTGATTTATTTCTTTATCAATTGGCTGCTGGTTAGTTCGTGTTATGAGGCGTTCATTGATAATAGTTCCTGGCCACTATATTCTTAAAATCTGACGCAAACATCTATTTACAAACGTTTGCAATTTATGAGTGATAGCTGTAGTCACATACCAAATCTCAGATCCTTACAGCAAAACAGATTTGATATAGACGTTGAAAAGTGACTAATACCGATTAAAATCTATAATATACATATATTAAAATTGTATACGTAATAAAAAAATTTACAGATTCTATGAAAAATTCAATTTATTACATGCAACACTCTAATCTGAACATTTTTTCTTAAATTTTTGTTTAAATTTACAAAACATGTTTATTTGAACAATCCAATTTTACAATCCTTATTTTCAACTTTAAATTAATAATGATACCTATGTTATCAAAGTTTGAAATTGATTCCTTAATGAAATTTATTTTCAATGAGTTTTAAATTTAAAATCCAACATGGATAGATGAGAATTAGTTTAGTTGCTTGGAACGTAAACTAAACATTAAAAAAATGATGAATGATGTGTAGAAAAGTTTCGAATAATGCATAAAACTGTATTTTTCTTCGTTTAAATGTCCAACATACAGTGAATATACAGAATGAGTATATTTATTAGTTTCATATATTCTAAATGAATTATATTGATTTCTAAGTAATTTACCAATTGTTTTAAAAAATTTTATGTTTCCAGAGTTCTTTTTTTAAACTTGAATACTGAATTAATTTACACATACAAGCCAATAAGTAAAATTATAAACTAATTAAAACTTTTAGTAATAAACTTGCATTATGCGCAATTTGATGTGAAATTGAGTAATTAAAAATATATGTACATACATATATTAAATATACTGCACATCAAACTCATGTAAGTAAAATTACATTTTACATTCAAATTTTATATACATTGTAAATGCTTACTATGAAATAAGGGACTTTTATATGAAAATTGTTTTAGATGTATTTTTACTTTTCAACACTTTCAAAACTTTTACACAAATAAAAAATTTAACTTTTTTAATTAATTATGTAGTTTATACTACATAAACCTACGATTATATAACATTTAAATTATTAGTTATTTGAATTCGTAACTCCCACTAACTCCGTAGTAGTCGTACTAACAGTTTGTTTGTCTGCTTTGCTCTGTGAATTCTTCAATTCTTCATCATCGGTTTCTGGATCTGCAGCTGAGTCTGGCTCAGGTGGGTGAGTTTCGGTGCTGTCATCATTTGAAACTTTCTCGCTATCTTTGTTATCATCCTCAGAATATGCTTCAGTGTCCTGATGTTTTTCGGATACATCATCTTTATTTTATTTGTTATTTAAATTAAAATTAAATTTAGAAATTCTTAAAAAAATATGTATATATTATACCTTCCATGCGCAGTATCATATCATTATCATTAGAGCATTTATCAAATTTCAATGTATTTGAACCTTTTATTTCTTCGTTGCCGTCAGCATTTTTGTCCTTCTCTTCAACGATATTTATTCTTTTATTTTCATTACATTCAGCAGTATCACATGTTTTTGACAAAGAACCTGTTACGTTATTTAATTTTGCAAAACTGGCGTCATCATTATCGCTATCATTTCCCGCAGTTGCGAAACTTTCTGCTGAAGATTCTACTTTAGAATCAATTTCACTAGAAACAGATACCTCCGGTGACTTTTTTGCTGAAGTCTCGTCTTCACCAACTGTCTTTTCATTCTGTTTATTTTCGTTTTCCTTATTTTCATTATTGTTAGGTATCTGCTTATCAGAATCTGTTTCTTTTGGATCATCGCCTGTTTCAGTATCAGTACCGCTTTTAGCTGCTGTCCGCGGAGGAACTTCAAACGGAACTACATGTAGACATTAGTTCAAATATATGCAGATAACTTTATGGATCTATCAAAAGTAATAATATTAGCACAGGGAACTTATATATAGATATCCAACACCAACCACAAAACCGGTAACGATTTGTAAAGTTCAAAAAGTAACTTTCTCTCAAAGTTCATTTTAAACGTTGAATCATTATTTAATTTGAAAAGTTCGACTTTTAACCAATCTGATGGCAAACCTTATGCTATCCTATTTTTTCTTTACCTAAACGTATGAATTTTTTGATTTATGTCATACATGTGTATACGTTCTTGTACCGTCTATATATAATGTATGGACATCTATATATAAGTTGTCTGCGGTATTAATATGCAATTATATGCTTACCTATATATTCCACGTCTTCATCATCTTCCTCGACTTCACCCGTACTTAGGCACCTTAGGTCTTTGGGTGGTAATTTTTCATCTGCCAATTTAAGCTGCTCCTTACGTGGACTTGTCAACCCTTCATCTTTCAGTGGACTAAACGATTTTTTGTCGTGCTTTTTGCGGGCAGGTAGTTTTAACGGTGTACTAGCAACTGCTTCTTTTGGATCTAAAAATAATGTCGAATCCAAATCAATAGTATCTACAACTTTGCCATTTTCTGTTTTTATAAGTTTGGCTGGAGTAACAGGTATTTGTGGTGCTTTATTTGCTGGTTCCTTTATAGCTGATGTAGTTAAAACTTCTACATCTGAATCGGAATCGCTAATACCAAATATTTCCACTTGATCTTTAAAAGAAACTGAAAGATTTTTCTTTTTGTCCCTGGCTTCTTTTTTTGCAGCATTTGCCTTTGCATCAAATTCGACCAGAATTGGATGCTCAAACTTTTCCATCTTAACTTCTAACTGAAAGAATCTTTTGCCATATGTTTTCTCTAAAAATGTTTTGGAAAATTTTGTAGGTTTAAAAGTTAATTTAGAATTCTCTCTTTGTGCTTTCTCGTTTGATCCTATTTTTTTCACAAGGGACTTTGGTTTTTGATTTTTGGGAGATTTTGCTGGCGCTGGACTTTTTCCCGAAGATCCTTTTTTAGCTGTGGGACTAGAATCTTTATTAGATTCCAGTTTTGGACTAAGCTTAATGAAAAAGTTTGACTTCGCTTCCTTTTCATTAACTGATTTACGTGTTTTCTTTCCTGG